ACAAACTATTAATCTACAAGACAATCCTGAAACCTATTTGGACCTACGGAATAGAACTGTAGGGGACAGCAAAACTTTCTAACATCAAACGCATTCAATCCTTCCAGTCTAAAATCCTCCGAACAATAGTTGATGCTCCCTTCTATGCATCCAACAAAACCCTCCATAATGACCTTCATATCCCATTTGTTATTGATCTAATCCCAGAAAATTTTTCCAAATTTCACCAGAAACTCACTCATCATCCAAATCCTGTAGCACAATCCCTATCTAGCTCCAGCCATCCCTACAATCCTCCCCGGAGGTTAAAACGGCAGTGGCCCCGCGACCTTTTGTAAATATGTATATATTGGAGTACTGGGAATGGCCAAATTCTCCACTCAAGACATGAGCGTCTGTTGCTATAGTGCCCTCCATCAGTTTCCACTGGTTTCAAATAACAGTGACGCGGCTGAGAGAGAAGCACTGGGATCTCCTGGAGTCCTGCCTTGGCTTCCACGTCGGGGAATAAGGCATGACTCAGAGTCCCCTGGGTGAATGTAAATATTGTACATAGGTGTGAATGTGATTTATTTACTTTAATTTCATCTAGCTTTTATCTATTATTTCATTATTTTTTTTGTACACAGGCATACCAATTTACTTATTTTTTTTTTTTTTTATATTTCTTTTTGTTTATTATTGATATTAATTGTATATACATATTGTGTGAATGAATCATGTAGCCTTAATATTAATGCCCTTCAATGTGGCAGAATGTATTAATATTCAATAAAGAAAGTAAAAAATGTATGTAATATACAGTAAGTGTAGGTATTGCGATCGAGAAAATGTTTGAATCTGTGTTTTCAACGGAAATACACGTTTTGATGTACCCTGAGTCGAAATGACCAAGTCCCGAAAAATGGTCTGTGTGTCTGTGTGTATGTTAGCGGTCTAGCTCGAAAACAAAAAGTCGTACAAAACTGATATTAAGTATTTAAGATAAGTATATGCCTTAGATATCTTAGCAACTTTTTTCTTAAAATCGCCTAACCGGAAGTACCACTTTATAACAACGCTGAAGCACATTTTTACCATTTTCTTAAAAATGGCTCAACAGATTTTGATTAAACTCGCTGTATCATTTTATAATTAAGTAATATTTAATATCAATTAGGTCTTATCCCCATTGATGTCACTTTACATGGCTTAAATGCCCAATGTTCATATACGCCTTCCTCTAAAGTACCTTTGATATAGTTTATTTTAAAAAATTAATCGTTTCACATTATTTAGAGTTACGAAAAAATGCTAAATGTCACTTTTGAAAGAATTTGATAAGTTAATAAAGCAGAAAAAAATGAAAAACCTGTGTTTTTCATTGCTGAAAAACTGTATTGCCTAGACGATATTGTATTTAAATAATTAGGTATCTATCGGCCGTTTATTCCAAAATATCATCAAGTAACCTTTTAGAATATTAAATTAGCGAATAAGTTGATCAATTTTCCCTATGTGAAATCCCAACATTATCCACTTACAATTAGTGTGACAACTTTTGACCTGTCTATGACAGACAATGCAAATCTCTTAATTTCGTTTTAATAAACTTTGCAATGGAAAACAACAGCTTAATAACTAATAGTCCTACAGTCCATAATCATTTATAGGTTAAATATTCAGATATACTTTCAAACCTCTGCAGGCATATATGAGCCTTTCGGTTTATAGAATGACCACTCCAACATTCTTTATTATTAATTTTAGTGATATTTCTAATGGCGAAATATATACGTTTATTCACAGTTATATATTTCAACATTGCAATCACCTACTCTGAAATAAACTTACTCACTCTCTATATAGCTAACCTTTTCTTTTTCGAAGCGAAAGTAAAAATTATAGACTCCATATTTATTTATATTTCATTTTGGGTGTTTTTGTTAATATAAATACTTTCATATATACAAATTTTAATATTTATATCGCTGTAATCTATACAATTAAATATTAAATAACACCAACTAGCAAATAGCAAATACATAGCATTTATGAAAGCCACAGATGTATATTTAGATAATATTGCCGGAGTCCGTATTATATTAATTTTATGATACGTATATATATTAAAATCCTTTTAAAAGGAAGAGAACAAGAGTTGGCAAAGGCGGTAGGCAGCGGGGAAAAAATGGGAATGTTTAACAGAGGAGCCGATGAAACAAACAGAAAAGATAAAAAAAACAAAAATAGAAAAGAATCGGTGTCGAATTTCTGCATGGCAACAGGGCACGATTACCTGCAAAGGCGTTTACATAGAATTGGAGCGATGGAAAGCCCTGTGTGCCCACTTTTCCAACAGGATGAGATATACAACATGCACCTCTCAGTTTGCCCCGCTCTGTCAGATGTCCGTAGTACTTCTGATGGGATCGGTACAAATTTAAACAAACGATTCATGGCGGAGTTGTATTGGGCTGCCAGGAGCCGAATGGCCTAATAGCCAACGGCAGAGGCGCTTAATAAAAAAAAAAAGATGATACGTATGAAAGCGTGTTCTAATCTTTCGGGCGAGCTTGGGTACGCTCGTCTTCCTTGGTTCCTCAATTAAAATTATTTTCCGTTAGGATCTCTTATTTCTCCTTCTTTCATATTTTATATTTAACCAATTTTCATATTAGAAATTAATGTGAAATGGTGAATTGTTTCAAATAAAAAAAATTAAAGTTACTTCTGAGGAAGCTAATATTGAAAATTAGCCATTTAAGCCCTGCCAGAGAACATCAATCAGAATTATAACGACATTTTATTTAAAACTGTTTGATTTTACACTGCTATGATGAATCAAAATCGTTAGAGCGGTTTTCGAGATAATCCTAAAAATGTGTTTAGTCCATAAAACAAACTACCATTTCCTGTTGGTCGATTTTGACGAAAAAGTTGCTGTAATATCCCTAGCATATAAAAACCTTAAATATGTGATTTCACTCAAGAACGACTTTCCGTTTTTGAATTAGACTGTTAACACACACACACGCACGCACACACAGACACACACACACACACACACACACTCACACACACACACACACACACACACACACACACACACACACACACAGCAATGCTAGGCTATTATAAAATGTTTGAAGTACATTTTAAATGGAGCTAAGGCTTAAAGCTTACAGATAACAAATCGTTAAGACCATTATAGTTACAAAAATTCTATTTATTACATTAATGGTAGGCAATAAAAATCTAGTCACCCCATCTGCTTTTATACACAACTTCATTCTCTGAGCCTTTCAGTTGACAGAATGACTAACTCCAATATCAAATTTTTTATTAATGTCATTTTAGTGATATTTCTAGTTTAAAAAGTTATCTATACAGACAGTGAGCAAGTTGATGTTCAAATTGGAGTTAGTCATTCTGTCAACCGAAAGGCTCATATAGGTTTGAAGTATATCTGATTATTTAACCTATAACAGATTATGGCTCGTAAGACTATTAGTTATTAACCTGTTATTTTCCATTGTAAAGTTTATTAAAACATAATTACCAGATTTTCATTGGCTTGCCATGGAAAGGTCAAAAGTTATCACACTAAATGTAAGTTGATAATGTTATGATTTCACAAAGGGAAAATTCATCAAATTATTCACTGATTTAATTTTCTAAATGGTTACTTGATGATTGTTTTGAATAAACGGCCGATAGATACCTAATTATTTAAATATAATATCTAGAGTTAATACTATATAGTAAATATATTTGAAGTTCTAAACATGTCCATGAAATATTTTTATATTTTACTTCTTCTTTCACACAAGTACAATGAAATAGTATTTTTAAATAATGGTATTGGCTTGATTCGGTGGATTTTAAATACTTTTGTTTCAAACTTAGAAAAACTTTTAAAAGTTTACATATAGTAAGAAAATTTCATTTAATTTCCTTGGAAACATGTGATTTACGTTAAATAATGTAAGTTTTCATAAATTATTATTTATGAGGATTACACTACCCTCCTTTACCTTCTAGAACTTTCTGTATTAGATATTGTTTTTTCTCAAATTCTTCGCTTTTCAACGATATATTATACGTATAACTTCTGACTAGTATTTCCGGAGATTCATTTTCGACCTGGATAAGCATTTTTATTATTTTCCCTTTTATTCAATTATAAAATTCTTTCAAAAGTAATATTTAGCATTTTTTCGTAACTTTTAATAATGAGAGATAGTTAATTATTTGAAATGAACCATATTAAAGGTACTTTAAAGGAAGGCGTATACGAACATATGGCATTTAAGCCCTGTAAAGTGACAAACGGAGATAAGACCTAAATGACATTAAATACCACTTAATTGTACAATGATACACCGGCTTTAATCAAAATCATTAGAGCCGTTTTTGAGAAAATCGTAAAGATGTGTTTCAGCATTGATGTACAGTTGCACTTACGGTTAGCCGATTTTAAGGAAAAAGTTGCTGTCACATCTAAGGCATATACCTGTCTTAAATATGTAATATCAGTTTCTTACAACTTTTTGAGCATACAAATTAATACATATTTAAACATACAAACACATAGATACACAGACACACAGACCATTTTTCGGGACATGGTTATTTGAACTCAAAACGTGTATTTCCGTTGAAAACTCAGATTTAAAAATTTTCACTATCGCAATACTTACACTTACTATATATTACATAGGTAAGGAAAAGTAAAAATGATATGATATGCATTTCCATAAATGAATGTATATTAACTAAATACTTTATAAAAAATGCTATTAATTAACTTAAACAGATAAGATTTAAAATTAAGTAGTTAACTTACTTAGTAATGCATTGAATTTTATGTAAGTTCGAAAGGAATAAAATATAACACTTTCATAAAATAATGTTATCATAAAATAAAGATGAAATCATTTATCGTAGACTACAAACAATAATAGTTATCTTCAAATTGAATTATATAATGTAGAAATAGTATTATAAAGAGAATATACCTGCTACACTCGAACAAGACGAACCGATGCCTTGCAGGGCTCGAGCTAAGAAGAGAACGGTGTAGGTTCGACCGAAAGCGAAAACTGCAAAATTTAGCAAGAATTAGTTTTTCAAATGTTTTTAAGAAAAACACTATAGTTTTATCTTCAGAATCGGTTCCTTGGATTAAATATCCAAAGCCATTTCTTATCAAATAAATTACTTGAAGAGAGAAGTGATAACAATACTCACTTATGGTGGAGAAGAACATGATGATAAAACCAGCCAACATTGGAATGCTGTATCCGATTCTGCAATAATTTGTGGTGTCAATAACAAAATTATGATTTAATGATTAACTATTATAAACTTAAAAATCGTAACATGAGTTAATTTTTAAAACAAGTTTGTCCACATTATTTGCTACATAATTTGCTACATTTGCTTCAGTAATTTCTACAACTTACGCTGACGCAGTTATTCAGTTACAGTTACACTACCACTACTAAATATACAGGTATTTTCTCATATTTTTTATATCCATAAAGTAAGCCGAACCATCAACATACGCCGTACTTTGCTCGACATTTGAAATAGAATTAATACATTGTACAAGAAGGCAGTGGAACAGCTGATTCAAAGGTTGTGTTGTCAACTCGTCTCTCTGTTTTTGCCATTTATTCAGCTCTCTGATAATTTATTAAATACAGTTAAAGTGTACATCAGAGAAGTTGATATTTACTGTTTAATTTATTTTTTCTTTTTAATTTATTTTTTATTCTTCTCCTATGATATGGGGTATTATCACCAAGCGATATACGGTACTTTCGAAACGCAGGGTCTAGAGACATTAAAGCTGGTAATGAAGGACATAATAAATGAAGAGGTTAAGCCTCTCGTCATTGAAAAGGTCGATACCACGAAAAAACAATCTTATGCCTCTACATTAGTTGGGAAAAGACAGGAAACTCCTATTGAACCTCCGAGTTCAGTGTACATAGCCCAGACAGACCTAAGCAGGGAAAAATATCCCACTGTACAGGAATTGAAACAGGGGATAAAGAAAAGCTTCACGCCTGGTAAAGAAGGAATCAAAATTAGAGGACTGGTAGAAACAACAAGGGGTGTAATAATTAGGACTCAAACAAAAGAAGAAGCTAAGAGGCTCGCTCAGTCGGAGAGAATAAAAGAACTCGGCGCTAAAGTAAACTTGGAGAATAAACGCCTTCCAAGAATAATTATATATGATGTCCCAAGTGACCTGGAGCAAGAAAAGATTGTCGAACTGTTCTGGACCATAAATGCAAAAAAAATAGATCCTAATAAGCAGCACTTCAGCCTTGTTTTCAAGACAGGTCCAAGAGGAAGAGATACAGTTCATTGGGTAGCGGAAGTGTCCCCGGCGGTGAGAAATGAAATATTGGCAGAGGGAAGGGTTTTTCTGGATTGGTCATCCTTCAATGAGAGAGACTGAGTGGCAGAGACACGATGCAATAAATGACAGGGTTTTCACATACAGAAAAATTCTGCCCCGCAACTGTCGTAAACTGCGGCTACTGTAGCGAAAGAGGACATGTTTCAGGAGACTGCCCAAAACAAAAGACCGGCGGAACGCCGAAATGCATAAACTGCAGTAAAACCAACTCAGCATCTAACCATCCGACAAATGACAAAGACTGCCCATCATACAAAAGAGCAATTGAAAGGTTAGTAATGAGGATAGAATATAACGACAATGAGTAATAATTCTGCCCCCCGGATAGCCCAACACAATCTAAACAAGAGACCGCTCGCAATGTCAGAATTTAGACGCATGGCCTCACTAAATAACATAGATATTGGTGCTCTTCAGGAACCTCCTACTAGGAGAGGGAAGGTGTCTGGAACTGAACCGCAAGACCTCACCATTGCTAGCAATGGAAGTGGGTTACACGATGCACCACAGAGCGCAGTGGTGGTGTTTAATCATTGCCTTACAATTACATCACAGCCTGATCTGGAAGATAGATTTATTTCAGTTGCCAATGTAGATTACATAGGCATTAACTTTGACTTGATCAATGTTTATGCAAAATTCGCACTCCCACTAGAAGACATACTGACAAAATTGCAGCTGGTAGTACGGAAGCTGAGACATCTTAATAATGGGCGATTTTAATGCTCACTCAATTTTGTGGGTCAGCCGAAGAACCGATAGAAAAGGCGTACTGCTGGAGGATTTTGCTGCAAGGAATGGCCTAACCATTGTAAATGATCCCATGGCCTTGCCAACATTTTTGGGATCCAGCGGAGAATCATTTATCGATATAACTCTGGCATCACCTGGCATTGGCCAGCTTATTAGCTTTTGGAAAGTCGAGGATTGGACCTGCAGTGATCACCGGGTGGTTTTATTTGAAATAAACCTAAACAATCAAGAAAAGCGATACCATAAGGAACGTTTTGTGACGGAGGGAGCTGAGTGGAAACGTTTTGTTGAGAATATTGCATGGCACCTAACAGAGCTGGGGCAACACCATCCATCATATGGAATCGGAAAAAGAGGCAGCGAAAATCTCAACAGAAATTTTCACAGCGGTTAAGGAGGTGTTGCCCATAACACGAGAGTCAATAAGAAAGGGACAAGTATGGTGGAACACACAACTCACAAGCCTGAAGCCGGAGACCTACAGAGCAAGACGCCGATTTCAGCGAGAAAACGATGCTGTTACCAAAAGAAATGTCAAAAAAGCATATTAAGAACTTAATAAGAGTTTCCCAAAGGCAATAGGAAACGCAAAGAAAGAGACATGGCACCGATACCTAGACCAATGCAAAAGCCCTTGGGGACTAGCCTATCGGAGAGCCCTTGATAAAATCTCAAATAGAAACTCCTTCACATCGTTTATGCACAATGGGGATGAAACCAGAACGGCAGATGAGGTTGTTAATGCTATAATGGTGAGATATTTCCCGGTAGACGGACTAACTTCAGACACAGAAGACCATGCTCACAAAAGAATTACAATGTATGAACTTCCGCAAACCGACGATGCGCTTCCATGGGAAGAGGAAGACGTGGGGTTGGCTATGGGACAACTCCGATCGGGAAAGTCACCAGGACCGGATATGATAGGAGCCAATATCCTTAGAAATACAAAAAACGCACTGATTAAGCCTTTAACTACGTTTTACAACCGATGCTTGAATAAAGCCATTTTCCCCTGTATCTGGAAACAGGCTGAGCTGGTTACTATCTTGAAGCCCGGTATAACAGAAGTCACTGCTAAATCTTACCGCCCAATATACCTCCTAAATGTAATAGGGAAAGTTCTGGAAAGCCTAATGCTGCAACACCTAAAAGACGTAATCGACTTGCTCTCTCCTGATCAATTCGGAGGTCGAAAAGGACAGTCAACAACGGATTCCATTAACCAGCTCATATCAACAGCTAAGGACTCGCCCTCTAAATATTTTGTAGTCCTCTTCTATGATGTTGCTGGCGCGTCCGAAAATATGTGGTGGCCTGCTATTATGGACGAGCTAAAGAAACTAAAATGCCCCAGAAATATATACAGGCTCATATTATCATTTTTATCGAAGCGCTCTGTCTACTATCAACTTCCGGGAAGGAGAATAACGAGGCCAGTCCAGAGGGGTTGACCTCAGGGATCAGTTTTAGGACTCCCCCTATGGAATATCAACATGAACCCTCTCCTTGTTAAATTGAGAGCTGCCGGGTATACGCCATCTGCTTACGTGGACGACTTTGCTGTTGGAATAGAGGCAAAATCACGAAAAGATTTGGAAATAAGGGCAACGGAAGTCACTGACATAGTCTTTTATTTTATTTACACCCTACCCTGCCAATAAGGCAATACGGGTGTTATGCAGTAGTGAGTAGCAACGCATGCGTTACAATTCACTACTGCATTCAGACCAATTACATTTATTTTACAGCTGTGCACACAGCCTGCTCTTTTTTCTCTTTTTAGCAAGCATCTTCTTCCACCCTCTCTGGCGGTCTTCCGGATGCTAGTTCATTTCTTCTTCCCAATGAAAAGTGGGTTGACCCAACCAGTTCCTTCCACCCGTATACGAATGCCTTGTAATACGGATATTTTTCCTTTGTCATAAGTTGAGGGAGATCGCTCTCCATTAGAGCGTAGAACCCCGTCTCCCTCAACAACTTAGCCCTCAGTGCCTCAAAGGCGGTACAGACAAGGATGATATGCTAGGCGGTCTCCGGCACTCTGCAACTTGGGCATAGGGGATCGATGTTCTTGCCATATTCAGCGAGCTTTGCTCGGAAACCCCCATGCCCTGTGAGGAACTGTGAGACCCAGTAGTCCGGGAGAACCCATGTCTGTTCCATTCTTCAACCAACGGTGGGGAAGTATTTTCTTAGCGTAGCCCCTTTTGTCGTCGTCGCTCACCGCTGGTTCCATTCCTTTAATGTGTTCTCCCGAAGAATGCTCTTCCATCTATTAGGGTCTTCACTGATCCTCACACGAAGATTCGCCGGTAGATCCACCAGGCCTTCCCTCTTCTTATGTCGAAAGTATTCTTCTCGTAGGAGAAGATCAATAGGAGTAGTTCCGGCTAAGACTTGTACCGCCTCATGAGACACTGAACGGTACGCTCTAGTGACCTGCAGCAGAGCCATCCGCTGGATTATTTACAACCTTTTCTTCTGTTGGTGCGAGAGATGATGACTCCACGCATGGGACGCATATCTCAGGATGCCCAGAATAACTCCTTTATAAATAGTTAACGTGGCTGGGTACCTGAGACCCCAAAAGGCGCCCCCGATGCGACGAAGTCCATTGAGAGCCAGAGCTACCCTACCTTTCATGTAGTCCAAGTGAGGCGTAAAGTTGAAATTACTCCCAATTCTTATGCCAAGATAAGTAACAGCCTCACTTGGACGTATTCTTTCTCCTTCTATTCTGAGAGCAATAGGGTGGGCCCTGTCAGTCTTACCTCTTAAAAGAATGGACTGGATCTTAGCAGCCGCCATCTTCATCTTTTTTCTCTCGCACCATCGTCCTACGAGGTTGGCACATCGTTCAGCTTCTTCTTTTAACCTGGCTCTGCTGTTTGAGGCCACTACAACGGCCAGATCATCAACATAGGCCGTGTCGGGGAACCGCTCTTGTTCTAGTACCCCCAGCAAACTCATCGAAGACTAATTTCCACAGGGCTGGGCCAAGAACCGACAACCTCTTTGGGGACAACCTCTTTCCATCGACTCTTGTACTTCAAAGAAGCTACCTTTTATCTTCAATGTTCGGTCCTGGAGGTAGCTCCTTAAAAGATCATATAAGTTGCT